CAGGCCAGGAAATGATTGCCTTCCAGGCTGTAAAGGTTCAAAATACATAATTAAAGTGCTTCAACTAAACCCTGAATATTATGGCAAAATCAATTTATAATTATGAAAAATCACATTAATTTCAACCCAATCAGTAAATTGTCAAGAGGGATTTTTTTGTTGATGTGGTTGCAGCTGCTGTCACCAGAAGATGTTGACAGGTAAGAAAGGAGATCAGACTGAGAAAATCCGATTGAATACCCAGCTTTTAGAAGGCAAAAGTGTGCACAGTACTAGAAATACTCACCCTGTGAGGGAATAAGTGAAGCGGGTCCTGCTGGGTGTTGAAGAGAGGCCTTCTGCATTGCCTCGATATCGCTTCTCTGCACCACTCCGGTCCATGTGAGGTCAAACCCTAGCCACGTCACTCTGTGTGGATGAGTTCATTGTTCAGCCTCCTGGCACCGTAGGGCAGTTGAGGAATTGGGTGAGACACTTCTAGAACGTTATCTGGGACCAACCAGTGCTTCAGAAAAAGCTGTTACCCAGTTTCTGAGGCCCTGCCCCTCTCTTATTCTTGCTTCTTTGTTAAGAAAAATCTGTGTAGAGAACATAGCAAAGGAAATAAGGTTTCCCGCGTCTACTTTTTGTCCCCTTGTTTCCCCAGCCTCAGGGGCATCTTAGTAAATCACAGCATAGCCGTCCATAATGGGGATATCAGCTTCGCTCCTTGGCCAGCAACACTCTGGTTCTGAATCGGATCCAGACCTGGTTCCCAAACCGAATCATCTCTCGTCACTGCAGATGTCTACTACAGTTGGGCTTCAGCCCTTGAGAAGAACATAATGCTGTCCTGGATCCTTTGGAACCCACGTTCTCTCCAGACCCGTACCCTGCTGAAGCTGCTCTGACCCTAAGTTAGCTCAGGTGCCTACTGATGCGTTTGCACTCTTTCTCACACCTGCTCAGTCAGAATTTACAGGGCTGTGTCATGAGTTCTAGATTGCTGTATAACATCTAGGAAGGTTGAAGTCTTTAGAACACAGCAGAGTGTTATCTTTGGAGCTTTTTAGTACTGGACATTCGACATTTTAAAGATTTCTAATATACAAGCAACTCATGAGCAACATAGTGGGAGAAACACTGCTTACAGGAAGTTTGTTTCTACCACTTCCACCACAATGTGGTCCTCTTTTAAATGGTGGGGCTCAGTCACAGCATGTCTAGCGAGGGTAAAGGGCAGAGCTGCATTCCTAAAACACTTCTATCTCAAGTGCTTCTTCCGTGAGATTTGACATTAGTGCAAATCCTTTGCTAAGGAAAGTTCATTAAATGGATTAACTTCTACACATTTGTAGCCAGCCAGCTCTGTTCCATTTTAACCCAAAGGAACTTATTTTTTCTGTTCCATAATTTATAAGAAACTATTGAAAAACACCTTGCAAAATGTTGAGAATTAAATGTGTGGAAATGCATATCAGAATATACCTAAACTGGGTCCTGAAATCCCAATCCGAGGAATGCCGTGAACTTGAAGCCTGCATGCCTTGTTTCTGCTCACCACTCTAAAAGCCTTTTCTTCAGATTAAATTCCAAGCTTAAGGACTTAGTCACTTAAACATATTTTTGTTTGAAATTAATTTCCGCAATATTTTTTTTAACCTTCAACTGATGCAAAGAGCTTTAAAAAGTCTGGGTATAACTTGCGTTCCAAGATAGGTGCATTCCAGCAGTTTGCAAGAACACTTAGTTCACAGCCTAGCAGAATGATTCCCTCATCCTCTTGGGCAGGGGCAGAGGACCAGGAGCCAGTCTTCCCCGATGGGCCATCTGTGCTTAACCTGCACCTCCTGGGGTCAGGAAAAGATGCCCATGGGTTCAGAGACCAGCAGTGAATTTAAAATAGGCTCTCATCGTTAATACTGACTCCACGAGTGCCTCAAAAGCTCCCTGGGTGCCAACCCTAGCACAGGGCTCATTGGTGCTGCCTGTTCACTCTCAGACCTACCTGCTGCTCGTTCTGTGGCTCTCGCTAGCAGTTATGTCCCAGGTTGTAGTTAGGAGACAGGACATCCCTGCCCACACTGACTGTCCACGCTACCGAAAGAGAAGAGGTGACGACACATGCAGCATTTCAGATGCCGTAGATAGGTCTCAGAGGAATCTCACCCTGAGGAAGTCAGAGGTGCTGTGGACACAGAGAGACTGGTGAAAGCCACCAGCGAGGTGGCAAGAAGAGACTGACGGGAAACAAAGGAAAAAGTCCTGCAAGCAGTGGGGGGCGAAACAGCCTGGTGGGGAGGCAGGCAGGAGCAGCTCAGGAGCAGCTCCGCACGACAGTCTGAGTTTAGACCTCTCCGAGTGCAGAGGGACCTGGCTAGCCATGTCCGTAGTGGGTCAGAGAGTTCAGACATCAGGGGAGCTTGAACTTGGATCCAAATCCTGCTCTCCTCCTAACGTGTCAGATTGTCGGAGTTCCGTGGACCTTAATCAGATGCTCTCAGTAGGAAAAGGAAACAGATGCACATTTGAAACAGGACTGGTAGGCACACAGGAGAAGGAAGGCTGTGTCCATACTGCACCACGTAATGCTGTGTACACAGAGCACGTGGTGTAGCGCTCTCTGGTGACTTCTGCTTTTGGGTAACTCAACATGTAAAGCTCAGGATGAATCACTGGAAGCACATGAGTTGAATAGCAGTTAGACAGTGGGTCTGAGCCCAGCCTGAAAAACTTAGTAACTTAGCAAGACCTTACCTCAAAATACAAAAGTAAAATAGGGCTGGGGGTGTAGCTCAGGTGGGCAGGGCCTGGGTTCAGTTACACACATACAATTACTATAAAGTTATCCACCAAAAAAGAGTAAGATGAAAAATATTCTATTTTGAAGACCAAAAGTGAAATTCAGATATTTTTGAAATTTTATTCAGAGCTAAAATTGTCTACAATTTTTAAATAATGGACTATTTCATCTTAAAAACATTCCTTTCAAACTGTACATTTAGGGTTTTCTCTTGTGAAATAAGACTTGAATAACTTTATAACCATTTCTTTCTTTTGGTACCGGGGATCAAATTTGGGACCTTGCACCTGCCAGGCAGGCAGCAGAACCACTGAGCTAAATCCCCGGCCCTTTATAACCATTTCTGTGTGTATTTTTTACTCATGTAGTTAGTAGGATATGTTCTGTGTAATTCTAAAATGAAAGCAGTGGTTTCCAAAAACAACATCTAAGAAAGGAAATATATTTGAGCCAAAAATAGCTATGGCTTTCCTAGGTAGTTTTATGTTTAAATTGATAATTAAAAGATGTTAAGTAGATTTTGCTTATTTTATTTTTATGCCCAAGGAAGTAGTATTAGAGAAATTATCCAAGGGCTGCCATCTCTGACTGCAGTTCACATTTAATGAACTGTAAGCATTTCTTGAAACCCGTGAATGTCCAGAAACAGTTCTCCTGCTATTACATCTTTATTCTCTGGTTGGAATAACACACAACCATAACTCCCTTCTAGCTTAGGTGTGCTTCTAGTGAAGAGGGGATCAAAGCCAAATCACATGTAATTTGAAGAAAATGGGTGAATTCATAACTGTCCTATGGTTACAATGACTGTTTAAAGTCATTCTTGAACAGTAAGATCTTGTCTTACTTTGATCCTATTCTTCCCCGAAAGAACAAGTGAAGTATTTTGATAGGACAGAAATTTGCAATTCTGCTCTTCATTGGGCGAACATCTCTGCTTTGATTCAGTCCGAATCCATGAACCAGGGCCTGATGTGACCACAGCTGTTGCTATTTAGGGCAGGGCCAGGTCTCAGTCCTGTTTGTGTCTTAAGTACATAACCCAGAAGCTTGTGTACAGTAATGAAGTGAAAGCAGGAGTGGAGGGATGAAGGGGGTGGGTTAATGCCACCATTACTTTTGGATTAAGAGTTTGAGTATTTATGCTCCAGGTGTTAGCTGTAGCTATAATGGTGCAGTGCTGTGTATCAGAGTCATTTACTGAGCTTTTCCTACAGCCTTGTCGATAGGCACTCATTTTTGTAGAATGTCCCAACTAAACCATTCCTCAATTTGTGTAGATTTTAAGTGATACATGGCAAAAATAAGAGTTTTCCCAAGTGTTTTGCAGGCTGAGAGTTACTGCTCAGGAGCGATGACACTGAGGCCTTTGAAGTCACCCAGTCACTGAGAGCTGGGCGGTGTCCCCAGCTCTTCTGCCTCTGCCTCCCTTCTCTGAGTTGACCGCCGCCAGCACAGTGTCTGGTCGGTGATATGTATTGTCTTTTATTCTTGTGGATTGCTGTTGTTTTGTGTTCTTGCCTCTAAACTATAAACTCCTGAAAGGCGTGAATTGTTCAGATTTTTCTATAACCTCTCAAACACCTGACATAATTACACTGAGGCAAGGATAACTATTTTTCTGCAGAGTATTTTTTGAGCCTTGAAGGTAGGTACTGCATTGAACGTGTTTGGAGGTACTAAAGGGAAGGGTCAGGATTCCCCCGAAGTGTGTGAAATTCTAAACACGCGTTCTTACTGTTTGTTCTGGAGGGCCTCGTTTGGGGCACTGATCATTAAATCTCAAATCAGTTTAGACACGCACAGTGCCAGCGTTGTGAGTCAGCTGTTGGAGGTTGAATGAGTAGTAGCTGGGAAACAGATACTTCTTGCACTGTTGAGGTACCGCTTTAGAGATAATCTTTAGGGCCTTTGCCAACCTCAAATTTGCACAATCATCCATAATTGGAATTATTATATATGAAATATTAGGAAGGTTTCACTGTCTAGGAGTTTTTTTGCTTTGTATTAGCTGCAAAGCATTGTAGTTTCGGCCGGAGACGGCCTTGTTTCCGAGGACCTGATTGGTTCCTGCCAGATACAGTCACCGCCCCCTAAGTGGGAGCGATCACGCACTGCTGAGGCACCCAGAGCTCCAAACACATCAGTGTGGAAAGTGAGGAGCTTGGAGTTGTGTGACTTCACCCCACGAATGCTCTCCCGTTTTTGTGCTTGGCAGGAAGAAGCGCTGCGTGGGTTTCGAGTGAGCGATCATTTTGAATACATGGAAATGTTGGAGCGCAACTACCGACCCGCGCTGCTGAGGGACATGCGGGCCATCAGAGAGCAGGCCGCGTAGGTCTCGAGGTGCAGTTTAATCCTGGGGTTTAGTCATTTTTAAAGGAAACAAAGGACTTGTTTATTTTATGTCTGCATGTGTAACAACGTATGCTTTGTGAAGACATGCTGTAAATCAATACCCAGAGGTCTTGAACATAGTAACATATTCAAGCTGGTACTAGCCTGATTTATGCAACGAATCCCTTCTGGTGAGGCCCTCGTCCTGGAAGGCTTTACACTCACACCTGGCTGACTTGTACCTGGGATTTTGTCTCAGACTCAGTGTCAGCTCACCGTACATTGTCATCTTCACCAGATGATTGAGTTTTCAATGGTTTGGGAAGAAGTGGTAATAGTGTAAATAATTGTTTTATTGAGAATCCATAGAAGAAAAAAATTGTTTCTCCAGTACTTGTATCTCTTTGTGTTCAAGAGAACAACTGCTTATTTTACGTGTGGAAGAATAAATGATATTTTTCCTGGCAAATGGCAGAAAAACTATTGTCCCCATACATAATTGTTTTTCTAGGAGATGCTTTTGATACCTGTATCAATTTGTACTTTTTTATTTGAAATGTCATCTTTATATGGTTTGTTTAAAAGATAGAGTGGTTATTTCATACTGTTAAGCATTCTAATATTTGTTGTGTATTTCCTTAGTTGTAGATTTGATTTGTGCCGAACCTGAAAACATTAAGGAACATACAGTTCTGAATTCTTTTAAATGACTAACACTGTGCTGGTAAGATTAATACTGTATGTGACGGTCTTTTTTTCATAACTGTCACATTTCTTCTGTGAAAGGCAGTACACAAATAAATTGAATTATTATTAGTCACCAACTTCTTTTGAAGTTTTTTTTTAAATGAAAGAGGTCATTCTGAATTCTTTGTTCATATCTAAATGTAATTTGACCATTAAAACCATTCTGAAACTAGTGCTTATTTCAAAAATGAACCATCCACAAACTTATTCTTCCCTTTTAGCATGTGAAACACCTGGTCCTATACAGTTTTCAGTTGTGTGAGATTCAGGCTATTGCAATATCAGCCTTCCAAAGTCGAGTTTTATAGTGTAAATGCCAACAGCAGATTTGCAGTAATGTTGTTCATAAAAGTATTGGAAAGTCAAGGAAGTAAACTGAGCAAGTTAGTTGGACACATGAACACTCGCTCCACTGCTGGAAGTCAGATGAGAGTCCTAGGTGACCCGAAGCACCGAGCTTTGTCTTCCCCCAACCACTGCGAAAAGCTGCTCCGTGAAACCTCTAATTCCTGTTTATAGCTCCGATTCTTCTCATCCTCTGTGACCCGAGTTACTGGAAATAGAAATGGAGAAGGAACTGTAATTTAATTTTCTGTCACTGGTGACCGTGATTGGAAACTGAGGTCTAGATGGTAACAATTTAATTTTGAAAAAAGCGACTTCGACCGGAGCCAGAAAGCTTTCTTCTCATTTGCTAGATTAGAAATGTCTCATGAACAAGAACTTAGCATTTAGTAGAAGAAAATATAAAATGCAGTAGTTTGTGTAACCACCATTATGAGTTGTTTTTGTACTTAAGGATGTCCTTCAGAATAAGAATACTCTGTTTTGCTGCTTTTTTAAAAAAAAATTAAAATCTTTAAGACAATTTATTTGTCATTTGCAAAGCGATAGCACATGCATTACAGCATTCAATTACAAATTATATTTTATGATACAGTGGAAACAAATTTGTGAAAATACTCATTTCTAAATCTTTGAATATTGCTCTCAAAATTTCCTGCTTGGGGTTTGGGAGTGTGTATCAGCGGAGGAGCCCTCGGCCCGAATGTACAAGGCCCCAGGCTCCACCTCCAGCATCTGAGAGAACAGCTGTGCTTGTAATCAGGTCTCCTGATCTTCCATGGCTAAGGCCTCTCTGAAGGTAAGGCAAGTGGAGAAGAGCTGCATCGAAACTCCCTGGAGGGCTCTGCATACATTTACGATTAGTACACAGTACTGTGCTCCTGTTTGATTTTTTAAATTTCCAGATATTTAAGAAATTGCTGTGGTTGTTCATCAAGCAAACATTTTAAGGGCTACACATACAAAATTGTTTTTGATGTTGAAATAGTGAGGTATTGAGACATGAGACATACCCCTTCCACTCAAAGAGTTCACTGTCCTCATGGGAAGATGTGTCACTTTTAAAGCATGGAAATACAAGGATGACAAGAGAATCGACTTCCAAATTTGGTGACCTTGCCAAGTTCTGATGCAGTGCTAAGGGCAGCCGTTGGACTGGGTTTAAATGATGCTAAGCGAAAGACTGAATGCCGCTCTTGCTAGGGTTCTTCCTGTGAGAGGAAGAGAACAGGGGTGGTAGCTGGCAGAACATGAGATCAGAGACACTTCTCCAGGATTTTTGTTGTTGCTGTTCAGGACGGGAATGGAAGCACGTTTGCTCTTTGGTGGAAATGGTATCATGGAGAGGGGAGCCGATGGTGGGGCTGAGAGGAGTGAACATCCTGGGTAGTTGGAGGATAGAGGGACGGGACGCGGTAAGAGTGGTAGCAGCAACCTTTCTGGGAGCCGGAGTAAATGAGCACAGATGCGCGGCACTGTGGAAGCTGTGGTTGCCTTCAGCCCCCAATCAGAAAGGCCATCAGCTGGGAGGACGGGAGCCTGTGCTAGTTACCGGGAGATGAGTGTGAGAAGGAGCTGACAAAGAAAGCAGTGCGTGGAGAGGGCTGGGAAAAGACAGCACCGTTGTGACCCAGTGGTCAGAGATGACTGAGTAAGGCAGTGGTTTCTCTCCACTCCCGTTTCCCGGGCTTTTAACCCGGATTTTGGCTCAGCTTCGGGAGAACACTCACCAGGGAAAGCAGAGGGATTTGGTGCTGTGACACTGATCTCTCACCCTGTATTGAAATAAAATCAGAATGGCTCAAAGAGCTGGACATAAACACAGAGGCATTAAATCTGACAGAAGCTGAAGTAGGTAAAACTTGAACATGTAAGCAAGGGTTTTCTGAACACAAACCCAGTTACACAAAGACTCACACCAAGAATCAACAAATGGGATCAATGCAAATTTCTGCAAAGCAAAAAAAAAAAAAAAAAATCAGTAAAGATACAACCTACAGAATGGGAAAAATTTTTGCCAAATACTCAGATAAAGGACTGATATCGAGAATATATAAAGAGTTAAAAAATTAGATTCCTCCAAATAAAAGATTTGATCAAAAAACAAGTGAAATGAGTAGACGTTTCTCAGAAGTAGTAGAAATGGCCAGTTAAGTACATGAAAAAATGTTCAGCTTCTTTAGCCATTGGAGCAATTCAACTCAAAACAACACTGAGACTCCGTCTTACTCCAGTAAGAATGGCCATCATCAGGAGCTCCAAAACACAAATGCTGGCAAGCTGGGGAAAGGAGCCCTTCTGCCTCGTGGGTGGGAATGTAAACTAGTTCAACCATGTGGGATCAGTACGGAGATTCCTCAAAACACTGAAAACAGAAATTCCTTCTAGGTATCTCGTGAAGGAGTTAAAAACATTATATTACTGCAGCACAGCACATGCCTACCCATGTTTATAGCAGCACCATTTATAATAACTAAATTTGGGAAAGTACTACTCAGCCATAGAGAAGGATAATTTGAGTTATTTGTAAGAAAATGAATGCATCTTGAGACCACAACACTAAGTAAAATAAATCAAACACAGAAGGTTAAATACCACATGGTTTCTCTTATATGAGAAAAGCAAAATACAAAAAATTTAAAGAGCAGAATAAAAGAAACAGTAGGAAACGGGAAGGTAGACTCTGTGGGGATGAGAAGGGCCAGGAGGGGAAAGGGAAATAAAAATGATTAAGATGCGGTAAGTGTATGTGCCGTTCCCTAAGATGAGTGTAGTTACATATTGCAAGCATATACCAATAAAAAATAAAAGTGTAAAATACGGGAAGTGGAGACGAGAGGATCAATGACAGTGAAGGTCACTAGGACTGTGATGACAGGGTCCCCTATGGGGGAGGGTATCGGATTCGAGTACTCGAGAGAAAGGAGACACCGTGAGACCTCAGAGTTATTAAGTGCAGTGCTTAAAATTGAGATTTCTAGAAGGGGATTACTGTGGCAGTGAACAGCTGGGGAAGCAGCGGATGAGTCATCAGAGGAAGGAATATTCAAAGGTCTCAGTAGAAACATCATTTTTGACATTACATTTTGGCAAGAAGTTCTTTGGATAGCTTCAAAATGAGCCAAAGTTTTCATAGATTAGTGAGGAAAGAAAATATTGACAGGAAACCTTAAAATGCAAAAGTAAATGGAAATAAAAAATAAAAATGAAAAGTAAATGGAAATCAAAGGCAGTGTTATGCGCTTGTTTTAACATACCTATTTTAAATCACCCATCTAATTTTTTCAAGGCTTTGTTTAGGCAAACATTTCATACCAAACAAGCTACAAACCGTAAAAGAAAATATTGCTAACTTTTTATATTCGTTAAAATATACTCTGAAATGAAAAGCCACAAGAACATAGATTTGTAAAACATACCGCATCTACTAAAAGGCCTTGTATTCAGATTTCATAAAGTTTCTAACCACTCATTAATAAGAGAACAACCAACCCAATTATAGGTAAAATTCCATCCCTCCATCCTCCCTTCCTTCCCCTCTTTTCTTTCTCTTCCTTCCTTCTGTGTGTGTGTGTGTGTTGCTGAGGAACAAACCGAGAGCCTCAGGCATGCCACTCAAGAATTCTACCACTGAGCTACATCCCCAGCTCAATAGGCAAATTATTTAAACAAACACATTACCAAAGAAAATACACAGCTTTTTGCTATCTCACATAAAATATTACTCATCACCATTCTTTTTGGGCACAACACTGCAAGGAGCTAACCCCTGCTCACTAAAATGGTTAAAACCCATAACATGAATCTCAGTGAAAACGTTGTTGCAAGGGACATAAAGGAGGGGAGCAGTTGGAGCCTCGTAGAAATACAAAGGCAAATTTGGAGTTTTGTAAAGAAGTTAAAAACACACCCAATGATATGACTCAGTTTCTAGGTATAGCCCCCAAAGAAAATACACTTCCATCAAAAGACTTACACGTGAACAGTAGTTACTCATAATAGCCCCAATCTGGAAATGACTCCAAATTTCTTCTAGCTGATGAATGTTTAAACAAATTGTCATTCAACCATAAAGTAGATTACAACTCAGCTATAAAAAGTAGGCAGTTGCTGGTACATCCAAAATCATGGCTGAAACTGAAAAGCATTGTGAGGGAGGAAATAAGCAAGACTCAAAAACAGTGCATCCCTAATGGTTCCATTTACATGAAATTCCTGGAAAAGAAAATCTATCCAGAGAATATTCTTGGCTTGCAGGCCCCAGGTGGTGCAAATGGGGGGAACTGCAGGGAGCAGAGGGATTTCTGCATCCCAAGTGCAATGATGGTCACGTGATGACCATTTAAAAGCACCTTGAGTCCCGAGTTCGATCCCCCACATGACAAAAGAAAAAAAAAAAAGTGAACCTGAACTATTGGGGCTGGGGATTTAGCTCAGTGGTTCCGGCGCCTGCCTTGCAAGCACAAGGTCCCAAGTTTGATCCCCGATACCCCCCCAAAAAAAAATCTTAAAAAAAAATAAAAATAAAAATAAAAGCACCTTGAATATGTGCTTAAAATTGTGGGAATTTCACTTGACTAAAGCTGACTTTATCAAAAAGGGATAAATGCTACAAAGATAACTTGACAAATTCATCACAATGAAAGAATTTCATTAATGATTAAGTTAGGTGTAGATTTCTCATGGCTCTGTAATCAGGTTAAGGAATATGCCATTCTGGTTTTGTCAGTTTTTTCAGAAGTAGTTTTTCATGAGAAAATGATTTCATTGAATGCTTTTATATCAAAATGATCACATGATCTCCTGTCCTAATCTATATATTGATTTACATTGAGCTTTGAATGCTTGACCAAAGTTACATTCCTATTCTTTCTCATGATATTTTACCATTTTCACATGGCAGATTTGATTATTAAATTTTTAAGAATTTTCAGTGGTCAGAATATTCACCTGTAGCTTATTTTTCTAGTTTTTATATTTTGGTTAATGTTTCATGTACACTTAAACAGACTGCATATTCTGTTATTTTTTTATAAAGTGGTCTACATATCTCAATTTGATATTGGCTTATGTCTCTTTAATGATCTTTCTGGCTACTTATTTTGTCAATGACTGTGACAATAATGTTGAAGATAAGATTGTAGATTTGTCTTTTTAAAGTTTATTGGCATTTGCTTCATGTATTTTGAAGCTCAGTTATCATATGTATAAACATTTTATAATTGTATATCTTCCTGATGTATTGACAGCATTATATCTAGTAATGTTCTTTGTTCTGAAGTCAAATTTGTTTACTATTAATTTAACCACTCTAGGTTCTTCTTCTTCTTCTTTTTTTTTTTTTTTTTTGGTACTGGAGATCGAACTCAGGTCCTTGTGCTTGCGAGGCAGACAGCAGAACCACTGAGCTAAATCCCTGGCCCTGTTAATCCACATTTAACCTTATACATCTTTATATTTAAAGTACTGTTGATGTAGACAGCATAGGGTTGAGTCTTTTCCCCCAAATCTGTCATATCATACCTTCTAATTGGGATTTTAGATCATTTACATTTATTGTAATTATTATTGTATTTGGGTTGAAATTTACATTTATCTTCTTGTTTTCTACTTTTCCCAACTGCTTTTTTGTCTTTTATTTTTTATTGTTATCTTTCTATATTAATGGACTGTTTTCATTGTTTTCCATATTATGTTCTTAGTTGGTTTATTACTTATTTTTTTTTTTAGTATTGATTTCAGGTTTACATTGTACATATTTAATTATCATAGTCTGTTTTCAACTAATATCACAGCATATTATGTTTATAATAGAACTTTTAAACCAAGAAAATCAGAAATGTCACTGGGTCACTCCAATCCAAAATATTCTCTCCTTTCTCTTACATAGTAACAGATTCCTTAACATTCCATTGATAACTAAGTTTATAGTTCCACGTACATTTTTCCCTTCTTTTTTTTTTTCTCTTTCTCTTTTACTTTTTCTTTTATATTACTAGGATTGGACCCAGGGCCTTGCACATGCTGTACAAGACATTACCACTGAATCACACACCCCCAATCCCTTTTATTTTTCTTATTTTGAAACAAGGTCTTGCCAAGCTGCCTCAAATGAACTCAAGCTTTAAATCCTCCTGCCTTAGTGCCCTGTGTTGCTGGGATTACAGGCAGGTACCACCATGCTCAGCTCATGCAGTTTCTTAAGTCTACTTTTGAACTGTGTTGTAACATGCTTACTGCCATTTAATGCCAGCATTATTAATAAGCAAATGTATCATTAGCACTTTTCTTTCCAGTACGGGGGATCGAACTCAGGCCCCTGGGCCCCCAATTAGCACTTTTCTTTAGAAGGTCACATCTGAGATATTAAATATGAGCTGCTTAAGAACAGGGGCAAAATTGATTCCTACTCAGAAATTCTAGCTTAGTACTAGAAACAGTATCAGTATTCATTTCCTAAATGAATTATCAAATTTTTTGAAATATCACATATAGCTGAAGCAAAGGTTGAGACAAGTCACTTAGGAAGAAGTGACCTGTGATACTGGTATAAATGTGGTTTCTTCCTCTTCAATGTGGGATGAATTTCAAATGGCAATGATAGCCACTAAATTCTCTTTAGCAAAATGTGTAACTCACGTGTACACATAAGAGCAGCTCCCTCTGTGGAAATGTGTGTGTCTACTGTGTGCCCTGCTATAGGCCAGCGTTATTTTGACCACGACATGAATCTGCGGGCTTGTGTGACCAGCCTAGAAACCTAGGAATGATTTGGAAATCAGATGTGAGCATTTTGGAGTATGGCGTATGTGCAAATGTGTGCCTAACTTGTATTGATAAAAACTGTCAAAGCGATTACTTTGGCGTTTGAATCTGTTTAGTCTCTCTTTCTAGAAACCGTGAATGATCCAGTTGCAAACAAATGACCGGACATCTGATGTTTTAAGGACTCTCCTAGCACAATGTTGCTGGATGTTGATAAATTTTTTCTTCGTAAACCCAGCCTAACTACACCTTTATTGCAGCTTATAGTCCGGACACAGGTCAGCAAACTTTAGCCCACTGCTCAAATCCATCCCTTGAACTTTTTTCACAAATAAAGTTTTATTGGAGCACAGTGCCTACATGGGTCTGTTTCCTCTACGGCCACTTTCATGCTATAGTGGCAGAGTGGTCATGACAGAGATGGAATGGCTTGCACAACCCACAGCATTCCTTGTCTGCCCTTTTAGGAAGAGTTGCCAACATCTGGTCTAGAATGCTAATTATGCATAGAAATGCAAATTTGCCTTAGGTAGAGTAATCTTTTTAGACTAACAGGGGACCGGGGGAGGACACCTAGCCCTAGACTTCGGTTAACTAACAATGAAGCTATGACTCAGAGAATGAAGATATCCCCAAAGAACTCACAGAGCAAGCAGTGCACTGGTGGGACTGCAAGCTTGGGGACCACCCCACTGGTGCAGGAGTCCAGCCTGCCATCTGCAAGTTACTTGAATGTTTGGGTCTTCGTTTTCTTGCTGATACAATGAGTGTTACAGCGGTACCTGCTCCCAAGGCTGTGAGGTAATGCATTTGTGTATAGTGATTGTTTGTGGATACTCTATCAATTATAGCTCCTGGGGTGACTTGCTGTTGGGTGGCAAGTGGGACAAAAGTCCTAGAACTCAGCTCTCTTGACTTGAAATTCAGTCCACTTTCCACTGTGCCATCTGTTCATTCAGCACTCGGCAGACCTTCATCAGATCCTCCTGTGAGGCAGGTGCTTTTAGGTGTGCTCTAAACTCGCCGGACTTTTCCAGGAGTCAGATCACATTTTTCATTGTTTTTCTTACTTGTTATGAAATGGCCGAAAATAAACTCCTGGGCAATCCACAGTCAGACACATACTTCTGTAGTTTATCTAACTTATTCATGTTTTTTCCTGCTTTGAATGGTGATAGTTTTAATCCCTAGATTGAGTGATATTGAGCCGCTCACTATAGGATGGATTAACAATATATTTTTCCTTGTGTTTTCTTCTCTAGTGATAAATGAAACAAATGTTTCTTTTTATGTGACATAAAATTTTACTAACATATTCTGTGTAGCAAAACTGACTTACCTATGTCATTTCTTCCCTGTAGAATATAAAGAAGAAGAGCTATTACTGAAGTACGTGCCAACGTATTTACTTATCTGATGAGTTTAAACAGGATCAGGGGAGTTTGTCTCATATAAACCCTAATTTTTAGCACTAGCTGTACTTTAGCTTTCAAAATCAGTTAACTTCTTTGGCAGGTTTCCCACCATATATTCTGCCGTTGGCAGTGGGCCACCATGAAATGCTAAGTGCTATGGAAATAATTGGACTGTCATGTTTGCTAATAGAGTGAGTTTGAGATACATTGGGGGAGACAGTTATTAAAGTGTTGGCTGTTGGAGTTTGACCATCTAGTCCTGGATTTCAACATTGATCTATCATCAGAATGTGTAAGCTGTTCTTTATTGAATGACACATTTATATTTTTAGCCCTTTCCTAAAATGCCAGAGTTCATTCCTTGAGCATCTTTAAAGTATCTTTCTTGTACAACACCAAATATAATTAACCACAGTTCCAGTGGGCTCTAACGGTTTCCTGGACTAACACACCACAGTCCTATAATCAGTTTAACTGGTGCTGAGGCAGGCCAACGACAGAGAGCACAGTGCCTGCTCCATGAGCTCTTTCCCCTTTCCTGGGTACCTTAGACCTGAGTCCGTACAACTTCGACAAACAGAGCCTCTTTACCAATCCAGGCTGTGAGTGCACAAAGAAAGAGTTCTCACAGGAGGTGGCTGAGGTGGGCTAAATACCAGTGCTGTTTCTGTCTCTTCCGAATGATTTCAGATGAGCCCAGATGGTCATGATCCCAGTCACCATCCTGTTTCACACTGTGAGTCCAGGTGCGCCAAGGCATGGCTGTCTAGCACAGATTCAGCTAAGAAAGTTTTACTGATACATTTTTCCCATTCCCAAGTTCGAGACCATGATAGATGCTACTTGTTTAGCAGGTTCATGTGCTGTCAAGGAAACCTTGTTTCTGCAGATGAAAGCTGAGACCTGTAAGTATCCCATCAGGGTATTTGTCTTTTGAGCAAACTCCAATTTGATGGAAATTAATGTATTTTGAATATCCTATATGTTAACTTTCAGCATATATCAATTTTTTTTCCTTTTGACACTTAGATTCATTTGTAGGCTGAAAAATCTCAAGCTTTGGTATAAAGAATGTAAACTTATTGCTGAGTAGCAAATTAATGGAAATCAGAAAAAGAACTGATGGAAATATTTCAGTCGTGCTAATGATTGGCAGGAAAACTACACACACACACACCCCTAAGATCAAGTTACTGATTTATTTAGCAAGGATGGACTGATTTATTGGGCTAAGAAAGCCACATTGTACAAGAACAGATGCAGCCAGTGCAGCCTAAGATTCAAGATGCCCCCATTCTTTTGTTACCATCAACTTGTTCTAGAGGAATATATCATTGTTATTTACATAGATCTTGTGGAAACATTGAGTTCTTCTTGCAGACTTTGGGCTCGTCTGCTCCTTCACCCAAACTCCACATCACCGAGGCGATGGCCCCAACCTAGGGAGGTGAGCTGGGCCAGGGCTCAGGCACACCTGAGCAGCACCTGCTGAGCTCACCAGGACTTCAGAGAACCTAATTCACCCCCAGACACCTGCATGCAACAACCAGAGAGGAAATAGAAGCCATGGATACTGAGCACACAGCATATGCCTGATTTAGCAACATTGAAGAACTAGTGTAACCCCCATAAAATTATCAAAAATACCCTGCACCTTTACATGGTAACTTATTGTTAAGAGAGTACGTTCTTGGATATGTGTTATATATCTGCAGCAACTCTGCCACCCGGGCACAGTCTCTCAATGTGTGAACGTGTGTGTGTGTGTGTGTGTGTGTGTGTGTGTCCAGTGTTTTTCATGCACTGAAGTTTAATCTTTATGTTTGGACATAACTGTGTTCATGCTGAGTGATAATTTTAAATTCCCTATTGATGTTCTTAATAATACAACAGAATCAGTGATCAATATTTAAACTCATATATATGCATCACATGGAGATTACATATATTTATCTTCTATTTTATAGGATTCCCTGGCAATCAAACACATTTAATCCAGAAGTATAGAGAAGTCTACTCTGTTAAGACATCAAACACAAGATAGTTTATGCCTCCAAAGAGTTTATGCCTTTACTTTATGGTGAGAAGAGTGTGTGTGATGGAAGAACAAATGCAGGCTTCTGGTGGTAAATCCTGAGGTCTCTCAAGCGTAACTGCTGATAGGAAAACTCAGCGGAAGGCGACATTGCCTGGAGCTGTGTGACCGTGAGGGACAGGAGGGAGGGACAGAAATAAAGCGAAACAGCAAGGTGCACACGAGATGTAGGAGTGGAGGGTGTGAGACTGGAGGAGGGTGGAATGCAGCGCGGCCCAGGAGGGGCTTGGGGAAGATGCCAGATGATGCACTGGATGCGTCCACCACTCAGTCTCCTGAGAGCTTCCAGTGATTCCTGATGATTTCTCAGCAGAAGAGTAACACGACCCAAGTTATCTTGAAACTTAAATCCCAGCAACTAATTCTAGCCCTAACTTGCTTCATTTAAAATCCTTCTGTTCAATGGAATTTCTGGTGAATGGATTTTCTTTATTTTTTTTTATAAATGCTGTTAAATAATAGTATTTATGATGAGTGAATTACTATGCTCAAAATCAATTTCTTTAAAATCAACTTTGTATTCTTTTTTCATAGACCCTAGCATCTTTGCCAACAATACACACCGCTGGAACTTCGCAAGCTGTGGTTTATGCTAAAGTGGACCATTCTTCAAAATGACTTCATGCAGGATTTAAAAAGTCTCCCCTTAAATGGTATTTGAAATGCAGTTCTGTAAAAGATGTGGAGGTGAAGAGGTTTGCACTCAGAATAAAAGGACACAAAACCTTCAGCAACTCTGGAATAAGAACCTATTCAAGAGAATGAGCACTGCTAAATTTCTCTAATGAAGCAATTATTTCAAGCTGTGTTTCTCAAAGAATATTTAGTAATTAAGCTTATGAGTGCTTAACGGGAACAAAGCTAAATGGGGCACTGTACGGAATTCTCTGGGTTGTGACCAAGCGGCTGTAGAGCACGGAGGAAAAGCTGTGGCCTTGGAAGGCAGTGATGCTTTTGCACTGTGAGCGGGCCCGAGAGGCAGCTTCAGCCCCGCCCTGGATGAAGCTGTTCTCTGTGGTCAGCGAGCCCGGCACCTCTCCCCCCACCTGACACCTGCTCTGCACTGGCCACTGCTTTCCCACCTGGTCCTGTCTGGCCTCACACTCCCGTCTAGTTTCCACTGACCAGAGCCCTGGCTAACTGCCATCACCCTTCAACGTCAGTCATCTTGCACAGGGCAGTGTTGAACATCGGGACAGAAAGTCAGTAAATGCGTGTTCTTGTCACGGTACCGGGGGCAGCTCACCCTTTCATTTCAGTGCACAGATGAATCTCTGGGGCAACATGCAGGTGACCGATCTGCTGACGTCTAACTGGGCTCCAGCACGCCGAGTTGTGGCCCCGAAGCATCATTCCCAGGCAGAGCATGTCGGGTCATCCCTGGACCAGATCCCCCTGGTGATTCCAGACCCTGAGTGAGGGTGGAAGCCAGCAGGGCCTTTGGGCATCCTAGACACGGACTAGGACTGTCTTTCTCCTCCTCGGTGCAAGGACTCTTGGCGAGAGAGGAGGGAAGGTGCAATGCTCCGGAAGTGACATTTTCACTGTGCCGTGTGTCAGGGAAACAGTGCATAAGAGCCAGCACGGACGGCAGGAGGTGCCAACAGACCGCAGAGGAGGCCAAATGCAGTCCCAGGGCAGAAGCAGCAGACCCTCGCCCCTGAAGGAGAGAGAAGCCAAGCTAGAGAAAGGTGATCTGCAGCCTGCTGCAGTGTTTCTAGGCTGATTCAGAACCCACTGTGGGGTCACAGCCCTGGTTGAGGAAGCATGCAGGCATCAGTGCTCGGCAGGGAAAGTCTGGCTGACTGACTTAATGGCTGTGCCTGTCTACAGGGGTGGACGTGTTAGCCACAGTCCCTGGGCCTGGTGAGGTGCAGCCAAGATGGCAGTGCTCATGTCAGGCTGGACCCCACACGCCATCAGGCAAACTGCTGAAGGGCTGGGCTGCAGCGCAGCACCCCCGTGCCCTTGGGGCAATACCTCACTCTGCAGAGCAAAGCAAAACTAAACAAAGCCTTGCGTAAACTGATGGATGTTTCAGTGTAAGTAGGAGATCATTCTTTCAAGATATTTGTGAGACCATGGCAGCTTGCATCTACTCTTTTTATACATGTACATTAATGAAACCAATCTGAGATCCTTCTGAATGTTTATAGTCAACCAGCACTTAATGGATATGTCATACTTGGAAAATGATACCGAGGTATTAGTGCAGGTATTAGCTGTTCTTAAATGGTTTGCTTTTGGGTGGATACTACAGGGAAGCACACTGCCTCTAAGAATCCTTTATGCCCAGAAGGTGATGAGGCAGCTTTATCATATTCCCATTTTCTTTAAAGTTTCATTTTAAACAACACTTCAGCAATAAAACCATTTCTAACACATAAAGGTAGGGAGGAGAACTAATTCTGCAAGACAAGACTCAAAACTATTACAGTGACTTGGCAGTTAGTAGAGTTGAGCATATCAGTTGCTCAGGAAGGTAGTAGGAGAGACCATCTGTGTAGGTTATTTTGCTTTGTTTTACTCAGTGGTGAAATTGTTAGTATAGGCAAAGCCAGAAAATTAAGAGAGGCTATAATGCTTGGGTTTATAAAATTTGACTAGTTCTTAATGAAAAACAGTACTATCAGTGATGACCCTTTAAATTGTTAGATATTGAAATTTACTAAGATTGAGATTTAAATTCAGAGCAGTGTTTGTGTGTGTAAAAGCACACGTGTACATACGGCGGGCAGAGAGAGCGCTGGAGAGCAATCGGCAACAGCCACTGAAATGTGGAATTCATGACCTCCAGACTCACAGTCCCTCTCCTAGGGGGCGATGTCCACAGGGATAGCACACTCGAGTGGAGGATGTCAGTGCAGGATGATTATGCTGGGACTGTTCCTGATGGGGTGAGATTGGATAGAGCCATGATCACCAAAGAAGCACGGACAAGTCGGGGCATCTGCAAAAGTGAATTTCTTACAGCTGCATCCACTAACCTGAAGGATTTCCATGAGGTGCTCTTGGATGCAATAACCACCTGTATGGAACTGGTTTGTGTTAAATAAAACCAGCATGCATATCTGTGTGTATCAGCAAATTGTTATATGAGCGTAAGGAAATGAAAAAACAAAAACTAGATTGTTCATCTGAATGTGATGGAAGGTGGAGTGATTCAGATGTGCAGGGAAAGACACACACGGAAAAGATACAGGGGAAGAGTGATGGGGGACCAGTCAAGAAACAGAACCTGCAGGACTGAGGCATTTTTAGCTTATTTGTTAGAGAGTCTTACACATTTTCAAGCTGTATCAGTTCCTGTGTTAACTGAGTGATCTTCAAACCAGTGAGATGTGTTGAAAGATGAACTGAACCTGACAGATCCTGACCCTTGGAACACAGTGAAGACAGTAGATAAATGGGGCCGGTGGACCCAGAAGGAGTCCGAGGTTAAGCTGAGTGAGTGAGTGTGACTAAAAAGAAGGGGCTGGAGTCATCGTTGAGTCACTAGGCGTCTAGCAACTTTACACCCACGGAATACACGAGTGCTTGCAAAGGGCAGGGGCGGGTGAAACACTGCTCCAGTTCAGTCATCTTGGGGGACAAGGCAAGGGCCGCCGAGTCCGGACAAGAGGCAGGGTGTGACACACAGCACACCTGACACTGGGACCGCGGGTGCAGCCGGACTTCCATCTGCGGCTGGCGACAGCATCTAAGGTGGGTCTCACAGAAGTTTCTGTGCTGCGGAACGAGGAGCCATGGCTCCCAGGGATGAGACCACACAGGCATGGTGACACCACAGCACCGAGGAGCTAGGACCCTGGGGAGAGGAGCTCGAATTGGCTGTGCTGCCACAGGCCCAGGCGACCAAGTGACAGGGAAGCCAGAAGTGGATTTGGCGGGTGCCTGGGAAGAGCTGGGAGAAGTAGGGGGAGCGGGAATTTAGGGCACTGAGCATTTCCAGGACAGCAGCTGGGCTCGCGGGTCTCCATGTGGCCAGGTTGATGGGTCCTCTCTGGGCATCCACCTGGGAGTGTTTCCCACGCGGGTCTCACACTGTGCTCACCTGCTCGCTCCAGCCCAGCCCGGCCCAGGTTGAAGCTTGGCCCTTAACATTCCCAGTTTTCATAAAGTCAGCCTGGCTTGCTTCACCTCTTCCACACCTGACGGCCGCTCCAGCAGGAGCTTTACACTCGGGCTCATCTTCCTTTCCACGAAGGCTCATCTCTCAGGCTGATTTCTGTCAGTGCAGCCCCTCTTCGCCTCTCAGGGAAATTCTTCATGGCCTTGGATCTCCTGAGGCTCACGGCTCCAATCCTCAGAGCTGTTGTGGACCGAATCCTTGTCCTCATTTTCTATTGTGGGGCTTGGAAAGAGGGATGGTACGGATGACAGAAAGATGCACAGGAAGAGGAGCAGGTGTGGTCCGTCGTGGGGCAGGAGCGGCAGGTAGGGGAAGGCGATGACGTGGCCAGGCATGGCGGTATCCAAGTTGCCACTGTGTTTTTCATTTGAAAAATAGTATTTTATTATGCTTTTTATTTTCCTTTAATATCTGAAGGGGAAATTGGCATTTGAATAAGTAAAACCCTATAAAAGTTAATTTACCAAAACCTGGTTGACGAGTATTTGTATCACTGAGTTCACTATGTTTTGTTCTGTTTAATCAACTCTGCTCAGTTGGAAACGTTACTGCTGAGTTATTAACAGTACATATTTTTAATATTTGTTTGCATAATTATCTTCAACTTCTGTTTTGACAAGATTTTCTTTTCACTTATGTAAATTCCCACAGTGACACCAGATGACTCCAGACAGACTTGTATTTGTACAGTGAAAAGAAGCACACTTTTCTTATAAAGAAACACCAGCAAGTGAAAATGAAATTAAAATGTAAACTCAACCTTTCAGAACTTAGCTTGAAGAAGCTGGAAATGCCAGCCCAGCAGGAAAGGTCTTCGGAGGCCTTGTCTTCAGGCGCAGCCCGAACTGCCCTGTGGTAAAGCCAGCGTCTTCTCCTTTTGGAGACTGAGTTCGGCCTCGTGCTCACCTAGGTTGGAAGAAAGTGGGAAGCCAACCTATGAGCTTCAGGGCTGTAAATCTGGGCAGCAGCAACAGCGATTTCTCCCTATCTTCTGTAACGGGGCAGACCAGCCTTCCTGGAGTAATTTCTGACGTTAACGGTGCGGGCTCCTGGATTTAATGGATTCTGGCTCGTGTTGTCACAGTGAGACGCCTCCTGTCTCTGATATTACTGGGAGTTTCTTTAAACGGTTTAAGATGTTTTACCATCCCAGAGATGCATTGTAACCTTGAGAAACCCCAAGCAGCAGCTCCACCTCTGAGTTGGACGTCTAGTATGGCGGTTATATTGGTGGCCAATTATGTTATTTTAGTTTATTAGTGCATGTGTGTGGTACATAAGGTTCACAATCACACACATCTCAATTCCTCTTTTTTCACCTTTATCCCTCACTCCCTTCCCCTCTCTCCATCTTGGGACCCATTTCTCCTTTGAGAATGATCAGTCTCCCTACTTCTTATTATCCACCTCTTATTTTTCTCCTTATTTTTACCTTGGGTTTCTCTAAGAGAAACAAGGTGTTATTCAAGCTGTGTGTCAGATTCATTTCTCTGAATAGTATGATCTCAAAGTGTGTCCACTTTCCTACAGACGATTCAGGTTTATCCTTCTTTATGGCAAAGTAGTGCTCCGTTGGACATACACACCACATTTTCTTTAGACATGCGTCTGTTGGTGGACATATGTACCATCTCCAAGATTTAGCTCTTGGGAGCTGTGCTGCTCAGAGCACGGGTGTGCACGGGTCACTGTGGTACGACGTCATCAACGTTGGCCTTGGGAAGACAACACTGGGTGCTGATCGAGTCTGCACAGCACGTGATCTTAGTCCCTCCTGTGCCCCACGTGCAGACCATGCAGGAAGCCAGTGCCCTGCACAGGCACTGTTTGGGGAAAGACTTTTGAGGCTTTCATAGAGGGCAGACCTTGACATGCCTTTGTTAGGGACGCAGCTGCCCCTTCCCTCCTGCTCAGGTATCCACACGGGGTTTCCCTGAACTCCTCCCATGGAAGTTTGAGCCGGGAGACCCTCCTGCCGACAACTGCAGTGCTTCGCTGTGGGTTTTGCTTCATTGCTCTGGATCTAGCTGAGGTTGGAAATCTTTTAACATATTTATTGGCTGTTTGGATATCCTTACTTGTAAATTGTGTGTTAAAGTCTTTTACTAATTTTTGTTGTTGTTTATAATTAAGTTGCCAATGTTGTTATGGCTTTTTAAAAATTAATTTTGTTAGTACATTTGAGATATACAATATAATGACATTCATCATTGGAAATTTGCACCTCTACGTAATCTCTCTTGGTTCTTATTTTTCCCCCTTCCCCTGCCCTCCCTTCAACCATCCCACCCTTCTCTATTTACAAAGACTTTGTTTCCATTTTTTCATTTTCTCACATTAATTCCATTCCCTTCTTTCTTTTCCCCTACCCCTCCCACTTCCCCTTCTCTTTTGCCTCTTGTCTTCCTATTTCACATTATCTATTATACCTGTTAGTCCTTATTTACACTCTCAGTTTCTCACACCAGAGAAACTATTCAGTATTTACACATGTGTGTCCTATTTATTTCACTTAAGAGTATC